TTTCCTGCCATGGAATAAATACGCAAAGTATTAAATACATTATTGTATAATATATGTTATATTTTTTATTAATTAAAATATCAGTTTTATTTTTTTTATAAATACAATTAATATAGTATAATCTCAAAATATTACTTAAACAAATTTTTTATAGTATCAATTCGCAATACACTAAATATCTGTTTAGAATATAAAAAAAATATGTACTAGTGATGTTAAACGGCTCGTTTTGAGCCGATTTTTAAAAAGGGCTAACTCAGATTTTATCCAGAAAAATATTATGCTAGCCTAAAAATTTTGCCTATAGAAGGAGCAAAGGTCATATAATATCGAAATTTCGAGGCTTAGTCAATATTTTTCTGGCGAAAATATTGAGTTAGCCGTTTTTAAAAATCGGCTCAGAACGAGCCGTTTAACAACATTAGCGAATATGCTTGCTTATTAAATGATAATACTCGCCGAAAAATATGATAAAATACCAAATAGATAAATTTTTTGTATATACCAGGTCGAATATAATTTTAAAAAATTCCGAGGCGGCCTAAAATTTTTAAACCCGGGCCGGGCCGAAAATATTTTAATCCGGGCCGGGCCGTGCAAATGGTACCTCTGCAGGCCTCTGATATATGTAGTACCATATAATTAAATTTGCTTAGGGGGTTGATAGTGTATACAGCTACTATATAGTATATATTCATATTTTGTTACTTTCGCCTCCACTCGTTTTTTGCCAATGTTAACCATATAAATAAATTTTTATAATTTTTTTACAATTATTTTTTTCTCATATTATTTTTGACAAATATTCTCGCACATCTTAAAATATCCATATTCAAATTTTTTTAAACCGAATAATACTAAAATATTATTTTCCAACCTTTCCTTTTAACAAAAATTTTTTATCGCACTTTAAAAAAAGTCCTTCTGCACTTTCTTTTAAAAATAATCAAAAACAATCATTTATTTTTTTCTTTAAGCCTCTCACATATTTGCATCATATTAAATATTAAAAAAATGTCCTCCATTTTCTTTTAAATTGGCACAGATATCTCCAGTGATTTATGATATGATGATTAATTAAATTTCTAAGTTTATCTAAAACTTCTGTTCATTTCTAAGTCAACCAATAACCTCAGTTGGTATTAAATTAATTAAAAACATACAAATCGAGTTCGAACCGGTACAAATCAATCCCGTTTTAGAAATTTGAAATAGTCAAAATAGCAATATCGCGGGCTAACTTCGCTATAATATGAGGTTTAAAATTTAATTTCGGAAATAAATAATGGAGATAAAAATTAATTTGAGGTATCATTAGGAAGATAAAAAAATTCTCTATCGTTGTATGTTAAGAAATTTTTAAATAAAATAAATTATTTTACTTAAATTATTATCATAGATTTGTGGATAATTTTGCAAAAATAGCAACTCCATTAATAATTAATGTAAAACAATAATTCTGCATAATTATATTCTTAAAATATCTCAATCATATATAAATAAATTTCGGCTGTGAATTGAATTCAAGTTATATCCTGAGCCGGCTTGAACCAAATTCTGAGCCAGCCGACTCATATGTCCCAATGAGCTGGCTTGAGTCTGACTCAATTTTTCGACTCAAAAACTGGTTGAGTTTAGGGACTAATCACAAATAAATAAATTTTGGCTAAAAAGTCGGCTTGAGCTAATTCCTGAGCCGGCTTGAGCCAACTCCTGAGCCGGCTTATTAATTTCATGTTATCAAAATTTCGACCAAATTAAGTCTAAAATCCCTGAAGCCGAATTCGGGTCTAGAAGCATTCTTAGTTTTGACATAAATATTCTTATTATAGTTTTTGTTCACATTAATCAATAACCCAAAATTTAGCAATTTACAAGACATTTGAGTTAGCCGTTTATAAAAATCGACTCTAACGGAGTCGTTTTACATAATACATGTTAAAAATAAATATCAAAAATTATAATTTATTTATAAATAAAAAACTAAAAAAATTGAGCAGACCCAGCGAATTGACTAGAAGATAGGGGGGTTAACTTATCAAAAACTAAAGAAATAGATCTTTTTCTAAGACGCATTATTAGAAAATTCGGATAATGATGAACATATAAATATTGTATCCAGATAATATAGAATAGGTTACAGGTGAAGATGATAACGATCGAGATATATCGTCAGAACATTAGAGGATGCTGTGGGAAAAGTCGAGATAAATAGTCAGAATATGATAAATAATATACAACCATTAAGAGGATATAAATATCTAATATAAAATATTTAAAAAATAGTGAAAAGCATTAATATAAAAGAACCAATTCAGTTAAAAAATTCTTTCCCTAAAATGCAAAATCCCCTCTAGAATTATTTCGTATATATTTTAATGAAGATATGTATTCACTTATAATAAATCAAGCGAAATTATATGAAAAGAAAATTAAATCATTCACTTGACATTCAAGATTTGGATATTTTTATAGGTATTATTCTATATAGATAGTGGATATCATATTCTTCCCAAGGAAATTTATATTGGGCTCAAGATAAAGGCGAAGGTGTTCATATTTCATCTTTAAAAAAAGCCCTGAACTCGTTTTCAAGAAATAAAACGATATTTACATTCGATATCGATAAAACTGATAAATTAGCGAAGGTTAGACCATTTTTAAATATTAGAATCTACAACAATTTGGGATGTTCAAAGAAAATTTAAGGTTGGGTGAAAAATGATCCCCTATTATGGAAACCAAATTGTAAAAATGTACATGAGAGGAAAGCCAGTAAAATTTGGAGTAAAAGTTTGGATTTTATTTTAATCTTTTTGTTTTTATACTGAGAAAGATAACAATGAAACTAGTTCTCTTGGTGAATAAGTGGTGACAAAATTGACAGCTGTTATTTCTACTGAAGAACATGGACTATTCTTTGATATTTTTTTTACTTCAACAAATTTATTTTCAATGCTAGGAGAAAAAGGTCTTCATTGTACAGGAACAATCCACATAAATCGAACTGAAAAATGTCCATTGGATCAAAACTAATGAAAAAAAGTTGCAGAGGATCTTATGTGATGAAAAGATTGGTTCATGTTATTGGAATGAAAGTCATCCTGAAAAGGTGAGCAATTAACGAGGAATATAAAATAAAGCCAAGCGATGGAGTTCTAAACATAAAGTATTATATTTATATTGATCAACCAAATATGATTACCTCATATAATTAATATATGGGAGGTGTTGATTATTGGATAGATTTTTGAGTGCCAAAAAAATGGTGGTGTTGCTTATTCTCTAACTAACTAAAATTATGTGTTATAGCCGGGTGAATAAATATTTCTTAGATATATTGTATGATCTTTGATTAGAAATGCACCTGAACAATATTGTAATAGAATCAGTTAATCTTAAAGGCAATTGAAATATGATTAATCATATTCAAATATATTGATAATTGTGTATGATGATTATTTGATGTATTTAGATTGATTTATAAAAAATATATAAACTGAATTACAAAATATATTAAAGCAGTTAAAAATATAATAAATTGTTCAATAAATATGTCAGATACAGCTATGACCCATAAAGATGACCAAATGGTCTTATCGGAGAGATAGAGATAATTCATATGGCAATTCCAATCATCAAGAAATAAATAAGTGTACCATTTCATATAAAATGATCAAAATTAATTACCAAAAAATGGACTTGTTACCTCCCAATGTTAGATTTTTGGAAAATTCAAAAAATCATATAATGAATATTTTTTTTGAAATTTGATATATAAATATATTATGTATTATAAAGAAAAATAATTTTTTAAATTTTTTTATGTCTTTGTTATTTGGTATTTAACGGGTTAATAAAAGACTATTGAAGGTATGGGGGGTAGTTATGCAAAATCATTCCATTTGGGCAATTTTAAGACAGCTAATTCAATATTTTAACCAAAAAATATTTTCTAAGCCTCCAGATTTGGCTAATAGATGTGCAAACCTTTGTTATTATGGGCAAAATCTTCAGGTTTGTGTATGATTTTATTGGTTACAATACTGAGTTAGTCATTTTTAAAAATTGGCTCAAATAGAGCAATTTTACATCACTAATGAGGGAGGGGTGTAGACCCCCTGAACATGATATGCTGGTGGAATTTAATTGAACTGATACAAAGTGGAAGTGATATTATATGTGTGTTCTTTCAGTTATTAAATTTATACATAATGAATTCTTGGTTGCTTGTATGAAGCAAAACAAGATTACAAAATATTAATTATTATTATTTAAATCACAGATATCCATGGGGGTTGATGCTGGGTGGCAAAGAAACTTAGGCAGACCTAGGAAAGTGAAAAAAGGAAATCAAGAAGTATTCAACTAATATAGGATATAAAATTTGATAAAATTGGGCATCGGTTGTAAAGAAAAAGCAACAATGCAATAAAAGATTATCTAGGATTCTATGTAGAAAATACAACATCTCTTTATGATTAAATAATAATAGAAATTTTTAAGTATAATTATGTATAAATGATTCCATATAGTCATTGCATAATTTTTTATATTTAAATGTGTTATTTATGTATATCTAAGTAAATTTTAAGAGGGGAAAGAAAAGTCAGGGACAAAATGGTTAATCTATTTTAAATTTAAGGTTCAAATCCAACTAATTCCAAGATAATGTCTGTCCAAATCCAACTGATATATTCATAGCTCTATGTAGTGGTTAAAAATATTTTAGAGGTTTTTTGCATTTTCCAAAATAATCTTATGTGATAAAATTATTTCTGTTTAAAAATTTTCAGATTTAACATGATTTTTTATGAATGCAATAGTTTAGTCTAAAATATTATTTTTTATGCTGCTGATTTTCTAATTTATCTATATATCATTTTTATGTTATGAATTTGTAAGAATGCATATGAATATGTAAAGAATGTATAGTTAGTCAAACTTGATATAATTACCAATAATAAATTAATAAGGCTGTAAATGAAAAATTGTTTTACTAGCTATACTTGACTGATTTTTATGATTCAACAAATCATTCAATTCACGAATTTTGTTCTTCTTTTCATTTAATATCATTGCAAATTTTATGTATAAATGATTATCATTTTCTATCTACAACAATTAAAAAAAAAATTTGAAGCAAAAAACGTTACTAAAGATCCATGTTGCTTGTCAGAGGTGATTTTATTTATATAATTTGTCAACTCCTGAGACTGAAGTATAAGATTTTCAATAAATTCTTGTGCTATATCTATTTCACATAATTTTGAGTTATTTATCTTTCTGTTAGACAACACAATGGAACCTAATTGATACTAATAGGATTGGAAAAATTAAAATATGTTAAATTTTACTTGCATATTATTGTCCACACATTTGCTCCATTGTAGCTAAAATAAAATTTTATTAACTTTTTATAATCATATATACAAATAAGTCTTTATTATGTGACTTCATCCTATATTTGTATTCATTATTTTTATTTCCCAATAAAGCATTTTTACATAGTTTCACATAATTTTCATATGCTAAACCAGATTCGTTAACAAATTCTTGCACTTTTGAGTTAGATACTAATAATATTTAGGTAGGTTATTAGTTTTAAAATTACTTTCAACTTCCCATATATTAACTAAATCTGAAATTTTTAATTTTACATTTATATCATCATTATTATCTTTCCATATTGAGAAAATGTAATAACACTTTGAAGTATCTTCATCATATATCTTAAAAATATACTTTTCTTGCTTCACAGGGATAACCTGAACATTTCTGGCATTCATAGGGAATGCAAGATGAAAAGCGAATTCTCAACAAAATCAGCTGATCAGTCGATCGCGCAAGCGATGCATAATTCATCTATAAATTAGAGTTGTAAAACTGATAACTTAATATTTCAGCCAAAGAATAATACACAAGCCTGGAGATTTTGATCAAAGGCTGAAAGGTTTGAACATTTGTTAAACGAAACCTCGAAGCCTACAATATTATTTTGGCTAAAATTTTGATTTAAAATCTGCAAAATCGAGTAACAACTGGTAACAACATTACTCCAAACAATATCATAGCTGTATATTAACATTATCTATATATATCATTGCTAGAGCGACATCGCGGTTTTTCAAGCTTATAAAAGAGACCTCGTGATATTAGGAAATTTTTATGTTACTATATATTTTCTACATCCAAATGGAGAAAATCCTTGATAGAAACATGTTCACCATTGTTATGGAGAAATAATAATAAAAATATTTACGTGATACGTGATATATAGCGCCTTTGCCCTCTAGCGTTGAAGATTCAACAGAGCTACGCTAGGTTTTCCTCATTTTCATCTAATTGGAACAATTTAATTTGGGTATAAAAGTAAAAATATGAGGAGCCCTCCACCCGTTTGTGGGAAAGCCGCACGTACTTGTAGGCACACCATTTCGAAAATTGTTGCTTAAACCTCTATAGGCTTTAAGTTAAAAGGATTGGGACAAAGAAAAAGCCTATACCCAAAAACTACAATATAATTTAATTACTTTAAGGGTGGGCGGTGGATCATTTTTAATTTAATAATTTTGCAAATTTAGTACAAGTTTTAGTAAGAAAAATTAAAGAATACTTCCAAAAAGTTGAATAATTGTTGATTGGGAACCTATAGACAATGATATGTGAGCAAAGAACTTCAAAATACGTTTTCATTTGAGGTAACTTTTTTTAATGCGGAAAAGTTTTTTGATGGATCTTTTATTGTTATTAAGTTTTATGAATTGTTTCATATTAATATTTAAATCCATTATATCCTTTATGGTTTTATAGTACCATAAGGATTTATATTTTGTGTATTGTTTTCCCTTATGTGTGTACAGCCATGCTATGGCGTCATGAGCTAAATTGTGGTCGGAGTTCCTTATTATATGAGCTAGGAACTGTATACGGCGTTTTTTTTACAGTGATATTAATTGGCGTGTGATTAGATTTTTTCCAGAGATTTTGGTTTGATATGACTCTTGGATAGAAAATGCCATTAATTATACGTAGACAATTATTTATAAATGATTGTAATCGTCTCATTTCCGTCTTACTTGCTTCCCAAATTTCCCCACCATATAATAGAATCGGAACAATTGTCGAGTTGAATAACTTCAGTCTGGTAAAAACAGAGATCTCTTTTGTTTTCCAAATTTTCATATACTTGTAGAAGGTTCCCCTCGCATTTTGTATTCTTATCGACAATTCCTCTTTACCACTACCTTTATTGTCTAGTGTTATACCCAAATATCTAATTTTATCTACAACCTTAATTATTTTTCCTCCAAAAGTAAGATTGTCCATTGGTGGAGCATTTGGGGAGGGGAGAATAGCAGTTTTTTTGAAATTTATTTCAAGTCCAACTCTTTGACTTAGGGTCTATAGTATATAAAAAATAAAATTGTGCAATCGAAGCCCCATCTTTTCCCCAAATACATTTGTGCTTATAGGCCGAATAAAAACATATTAGAACCAATATTAGCCTTGAAAATAATAATGCAGAAATGTTATAAATACAAAATATCATTCTATTACACTTTCATCGACTTTAGTAGAGCTTTTGATAAGGTTAATCACGGAGTTCTATGGGATATGCTAGCTGAATGTGGAATAGAACCTCAAATAATCCTCACCTTAAAAAAACCACTACTCTAAATTAGTAGCGTGTTTTAGAATAAACGATAAAATATCCCCCTGCTTCGATAATCTGTGAAATTCCGTGGGTTCTCAATTTTGGGGAAATTACATAAAAATGATTCATTCCATTCCTCCGGAGTTTTCCCACATTCCCATATATTGTTAAAAAGGGTCAAAAGGAAGGAAGAGACAGTCCTAGGTGCAATTTTCAGATCAGCTGTTATGTCATCAGGCCCCGGAGCTTTGTTTCTACGTAATTTTTTTATTATGTTAGTGATCTCATCTATAGAAAAGCCAGATGGTGGTGAGACCAAAATTATATTTAAGCTAGCTGGTGGGGTTGCTTTCCTTGAATCGAAGACTGTCATGTAATAGTCAAGCCATACAGCTATTTGTTCATCTTGATCTATGATCACTTTCCCATTCCTTAAGGCAATGGTGGGGAGTTTCTTAAAGCTACTAGGTTTACAAAAATATTTTAATTTTTTATATGCGTCATATATCCTGTTTTCCTTCATATCCCTATCAATGTCAAAAGCTTTCCTCGCGATATATATTCGTCTATCTCTGCGTAGTAGTTTATGTATATCCTTCCATAAGTCGCATATTTGGGCCGTTCACGCTTCTTAACAAATTTATTTTCTCTAGAGTGTCATTTGCCATCCATTCTTTCCTAGAGAAAGGAGTCGCGTTTGGCAAAACGTTGTATGATTCTGTAAGACCACTTTTAAAAAGTTTCCAACATGCTTCTCTGTCTAGTTATATTTACAAAGTTAGCTACTTTTCTAATTAATATTTGATCAAACAGTCTCGCATCTTCTGGTGTTTGTACTTTATTGGGTTAACGTGTTATAATTGTGCGCGAGAGATTAGTATTAGGACCATTGAAGTTTGTCTACTTCCACTGTGATAACTCCATAGGTTTTTAACTGTAATGTTTGCTCTGAGCAACCTGTGATCTGATATGTTGATATTTGTTAGTGCTTTTACGTCATCAAACCACCGGTGAACATTCGAAATGAAAAAGTCGATTTGAGATTTTTGCTGAGCCCTTACAAAGGTGTAAGTGTTACTTTCACGATGGATAAAAAAAGTATTTTCGATCTTAAAATTATTGTTCTTACAGAAATCAAGGAGTTTCTTACTATGTTCACAATTTCGTTGTAGTATTGTAGCATGCCCAATAACATTACCATTTACATATTCATCTTCTTTGCCAAATTTCATGTTAAAATCTCCTAAGATAATTATATTATATCTTCCCGGTAGGGAGTGTATCGTGTTTATCATAGAATCAATGAAACTTATACTTTTATATAATTTGGCTATTGATAAAAAATGAACCTATCTAAAAAAATGAGGATTGAGACATTTAAATCTTTTTAAATCGGACCAGATCAGGCCAAAGGTAGTAAATTCGGCTGAGAAATATTTAAAAACTCGACTATTATTACAAATTAGTAAAAAGTTATAATATATTTATAAATTACATCATAGAATGATATATATCATTCATCCCCTTCTCATACTTACAATATCCATTTCAAAGCCATTAATGTCTCTCAACTTGTTTATAGAAGAAAAGTAAAATTGTTTTTAAATTATCTAGAATTATAGTAACTTATATGGGCAAATAAAACAATTTAAGTTTTTCTATATATACACTCCACTATACTAGGTAAACAAAATTATTATTTTATTTTATTCCATGAATTTTATTATAGGATAATCAGTAGGATACTGTTTTTTTGTAATTTTAGTATTCTATTATAATTCTGGGAACGAGAGTTAAAAAAAAACAATTAATTAAAAAATATTTTGGCAATCTCAGTAATCTTATTTAAAATTCTAATAACGTGAAATTTAAATAAATAAATAAAAATTTCCCATCAAATTTAACATTTTTATTTTTAGTCAAAATTACAATAACTATAAAATAGTTATTATTTGAACAATTATAATTCAAATCTAAATAATATTACAGGCAATGACTGTCATTGATTACAGGTAATTATTTTTAAAGATTATTAAATTTTTTATTAATTCTTAGAAAATAACATACAATAATGAACCACTGAATTTTATTTGTCCTTATACTTGCGTAATATGTAATTTTTAGTCAAAAATTACTAAAATCATAGAAAGAAATAGTTATTATTTAAACATTTAATAAAATAAAATACCAAATCCAGATAGTTAAAATAGATAATTAAATTTGATGAATAATTAGAAAAAAACGTACAAATAAAATACACCCAACTCATCATTTTAACTTGACTGTACTTGGTAAATAAAATATAAAATCAGTAATAACTGTTTATATTCTAATATACAATTTTAAATTAATGTGAATTATAAAAAATTAAATATATAAACCGGCAATAAATGTTAATTAAAAAATATTAAACGGATATAACCGGCGGCACATAAAAAACTATAAAATAAATGTGAATTATAAAATGGTAAGTGGATATAACCAGCATATGATTCACTATAAAATAAATTACCCAAAATAGAAATTTAATTTTTTGAGCCTTTAAAATTTATATATAATGTATAAAAAATTTAAATGTTGGAAATATAAATTAATACATGAGTTTTTTAGGAATAATTGTATTTTATATGTAATAACTTATAAAGTATTCATTAAAAAATATATAATACATTAAAAATTAAATGTGCACAAATAATATTATTAAGAAGTCTATTAGGCCGAATTTTGATCTAGCCAGGCCCAATTTTCTCTAAACTTTTAAATTCATCTTCTCATTTACAGTTAACTGGGATATTTTTAGTGAATTCGCGCTAACTGGTGGGGGTGGGTATGTATTTTATATTTATTAGATATAAGCAGAGGTCTCGGGTGTTTGATTGGTAAATATATTCTAAAAATTAAAATTTGCACAGAAAATATCTAATTTGTAAAAGTTATGAGATTTGAAATTGAAAAATAACAATATCGGTTACATCTCAAGCACTAGCTTCTTTGGCATCTATAATTTAAAATCCAATCATCGTTGGGATTGAACTAATTTTTCAATTTTCACATCCGTGCTTGGCGTCAAATGCCTATTATTATGAATATTCAAAAGGGCTAAACCATTCAATCTACTTTCAGATGTTGTACTTTTTAGGTATGTTTTTATTCTTTTTAAAGAAGAGAATGTTCTCTCATTAGTTG